AGAACAAGAGACAGAGAGAGATACTGGCCAGAGATTTGGTTCCTATGGTCCAGGGGAGGAGGCACTTCCTACAAACACAGAGAAACAGAAATGCCAACACAAGGCTCTGGAACTCAAGTTCCTTTCTCCAGAGGCTCACTCTGACTCCTGGCCCTCAGTGGCCAGGAGACCTGAGCTGTCCTGTCTCTTAAGTGGCCCTCTCTAACACTGGCCCTAGACAGGCAGCAGGAACATGAGACCTTCTGCCTCGAGGCATGGTAGCACACCCCTGTGAGCCCAGCATGGTGGTGCACACCTGTAAACCCAGCATGGCAGTGTGCACCTGTAAACCCAGCACAGTGGTGCACACCTGTAAGCCCAGCATGGCAGTATGCACCTGTAAACCCAGCACAGTGGTGCACACCTGTAAGCCCAGCATGGCAGTGTGCACCTGTAAACCCAGCACAGTGGTGCGCACCTGTAAGCCCAGTACGGTGGTGCACACCTGTAAGCCCAACAGTTTTAACACTGAGGTAGGAGGATTATGAATTTGAGGCCAGCCTGGGCGGCAGAATAAGATCCTTTCCTCCTGCCTTCCCACAAAAGGAAAAGAAAACCCTCTGTGGTCCCCAAAGGCCTGCCTGGGCCTCCCAGGGTCTGATTCCAGTGTCCAAGCATCCATGGTGAATCTGGCGAGAGGAGACTAGAGAGAGGCACAGGCAAGAAGATAGGAATCTGCCAGGGGGAGCCAGGAAGTCTAGAAGAAACAGCTGTCCCAGGCTCTGGAGCCTTGCTGGTGAATGAAGCTGGTGAGGGGAGGGGGTGGATTGGAGAGGGAGGGTCTCCTCGCGGATTCCCTACTAGTCCCTTGGCTCTGGGAGTCTCATGGCTGCCTGTTCATGGGAGAGTGACCTGGGCTCAGAGGGTCCAGGAAAGCCAAGATGTAGACCATTCCTGTGGCTCCCGAACAAAATGCCACAAGTTCTCAGCAGCTTAAACAGTACATTTGCACTCAGAGCTACAGCACTCAAAGTGGACTCCCCAGGATATGAACAAGGTGGGTGGGCTGGCCCCTCCCAGAAGGTTCCAGAGGGTCTGACCTTTGTTCCCCAGCCTCTAGACCCAGCTTCTCAAGAATGGGAGAAGCACAGGTGCAGGTGACCTGAGGACCTGGAGCTGACCCACCTGGCTGTTGAGTGGCAGCTGGAGCTTTAGCACACCCCTAGGGATCTTGACCCCCACTCCAGACAATGCCACAAACTGTCAGCACAAAGCTGTCTCTAGCCTCAAGTGGCAATTTCTGCCAGAAGCCCATTTTGTCTTGTGTTACCAGCACCGGCTCCCTTTGGCAACCGTGGGCACAGTAGTTTCTCTTGTGACATTGGATGGCTTCCTTTGTAGTCTCCAAAACCAGCAGTGGTCTGAGTGATCTGATTGGTCACATACATACATACATACATACATACATACATACATACATATACATATACACACACACACACACACACACATATATCCTGGGTACCCAGCACATGCTCCAGAGATGCCTTCAGGGAAAGATCGAGGCCTTATTGAGACACGTGCTGTGGCATCAAAGGTCCTGCGTCTCTCAGTTGGCCTGGGCCTCCTGGTAATCCACTCTTTTCCTTCTTTCTTTCCAAGATAGAGTCACCATGTAACCCAGTGATCCTCCAGCCTCAGCATCCTCCATGTCTGTGCGATGGAATCTCAAGTGTGCACCACCTTGCACAGCCCTACCGCTCTTATTTCAATGGCATGAGTTCAGCATCGCCTCCCGGCTGCCCCTCAGTCCCTAGGCTTTCCTGGCTCCCCACCCCACACACTTCCTGCAGGTAGCTCCTCACCGCCCCTAATCTGTAAGATGACTGGCCCTCCCTGGCTACTGGTCTGTCTTAGTTTCCTCTCTCCAGGTCCGGTCCATGAGTCCTGGGTCACAATTAGCTGCCTCTCAGTTGCTCTGGGCTTTAAGTTGCCACCTCCTCTCTGGGTGTCTGAGCCTATGGTGAGGGCCATGGGTACGACTATGCCCATATTCAGGGTACCCGTGCAAGAGGAAATGCGGGTACAACCATACAGAGGGCCCAGCTAGTGATGCCAGGTGCAGGAGAGCCCCTCATAGGTTGAGAGTGTCCCATCTATGACACTGCAGCCAGACCTCACAGGTATGAACTTAGACGGTGGGAACACCCTCCAGAGGGCTGCCGTCCCTTAAAGTACTCGCTCAGGGCCAGGTCCTCTAAGTCTTGCTTAAAATTAACCTTTGCTGTGTGGTGGAGTCTTTGCTACCCAATGCTTGTCTCCTTTGATTTTATTTTAGGATTGGCACAGTATATTCTTTTTTATGTATGTGTGACATACATATGTAAATATGCACATGATGTTGGTGAATTAATGGTGTTTTTACTAAATGAGGATGTGGGAACCAATCACAGCCCCTAAGGGATGTCGGGAAACTGAGCATCACCAGGACAGCACTGTGAGCCCAGAAGGGTGATTGGAGCTGAGCTGAGTGCCGATATTACTGGACAGGACCTGAGCTACAACCATTTGAGAAGCTGCATGTGTGCAGAATAAGCTCCACACCCTAGCTGCCTTCCGTGGGGTTTGGGGGTGGGCACTCTCTCCTGCTCCCCAGGACACTTCAGCTCAGCAGCTGCTCTATCAGGGCTGTGTTCTGCTCTGGGACATTGCAGACCCTCTGTTGGAGCTAGGGGACCTTGCAGAGAATTCAGAACAGTTTCCAAGGTCCCACAGATTCTCAGGGAGGTCATTTAAAGAGTGCCACAAGATATGCTGGGATCACAGAACAGCATAGATGGGGACCCTAGCTAGGGGACACAGGCTGTCCTCCAAGGTCCCCGGGCAGTTTCTGCAGAGGAGTCCTGAGGCCAGCAGCTGTGGGTCTTCGGCTGACCCATTGTCAGTAATAAATCAGGTGTGATTAGAGCTGTGTTAGTGAGTCCATCTCCTTTGTCACGACAAATACCAGATCTCCAAGGAATATTGTAGAAGGCATACATTCATCTTACATTCCGTGAGACATGAGGTCATGGCTCTGAGGAGAAGCAATTGTCTTTTCCCACCACTAGGAACTAACGTGCTTCAAGGGGTAGAATTTCATCCACACTACATTTTAGCATGTTGGGTTTTCTTGACTCCTTGGGCCGACTCCCTGGAGTATGGCAGAGAGCAGGAGGTCATCATGCCTGGGGAGCCGCATTAGAGGAGAACCTGTGGGCTGGACCAGGTGTCCTGGTAGCCTGCTTCCCTTCTTGGCCACTTGGCCTTCCACACTTGTATCTGGGTAGCACATTTTCTTCTAACACAATCCTTTGAAAAGCGAAGCTCAAAGCTGCAAACATTGTGAGTGTTTTGAGAGTTAGCTTGGAGACTCCAAGGCACAGGTGCCGTGAGACATGGGAACCCGGCTGCTGGGCAGAGATTGTCCCCGAGAGCTGTGTGATGAAACTTGATCTTCCATGTGTTCGTTCTGAAGCCCATCTCTGGGAGATAATAAGATTATTGGGGTGGGTCGTCAAGAATTAGTGCCTTTTAGGACAAAGCATGAGAGATACCCTCTCTTCCTTCCTTCAAGAACACAGCCAGAAGGTATCATCTGTGTGGGTCTTCCCCAGATGGTATCCTAACTTTGGACATCCAGCCTCAGAACTAGGAGAAAGATAACTGATTGAAAGCCACTGTCTCCAATTGCTTGCTCTGGCAGTTACGTGGACCACAGGCAGGAGACTTGTGAAGAGAATGCCACCTTTATCTCAGGGACTGGGGATCCCCGTTTCCAGTGTTGGGGAGGTGGTACTCATGTGTGGCATGATCCAGCCCTGGAGTCAGCATGCTGGGAGGAAGGAGGAGCAGATGAGGAGCACCCCTTTCTGCCTTATAATTCCAGCCTCTTCTCTTAGAAGGGCAGGGTGGCCCTGTAGGACTCAGCAGAGACCCAGCACAAGCAGAGCTGGAGGAATATATACAGGTCCTGGCCCATCTGTCCCCAGACAATGTCCTGTGTCCTCTTTGCCAGAACAGGACCCTCCCCATCCCCACTCAGGGCTGTTTGGAGCCTGAGGGACAGCTCATGTGGCATGGACTCACTGGTGACCCATTGCCACCTCCATCCTGGGATGGGGATCACCCATCTTAGGTTTCCATAGTGTGGGGTATTTGTTGATAAAAATACACATTCTAGGCCGGGCGGTGGTGGCGCACACCTTTAATCCCAGCACTCGGGAGGCAGAGGATCTCTGTGAGTTTAAGGCCAGCTTGGGCTACAGAGTGAGTTCCAGGAAAGGCACAAAGCTACACAGATACACAGAGAAACCCTGTCTTGAAAAACCAAACCAAACCAAAACAAAACATATTCAAGGGCTGCTTGAGAGTGTGTACTGCCCTTCCAGTGGACACGAGTTCTATTCCCAACACCCATGTCTAGCAGTTCACAGCCGCCTGCAGCTCCAGTTTCAGGGGATCTGACACCCTGTTCTGTCCTCCAGGGGCATTCCTCAACATGTGATACACACACACACACACACACACACACACACACACACACACACACACACACACAGAGTAAAAACACAATATATTTTTTAAAAACGAGATGTAGAGGTGTCTCAATGGTTAGAGCACTGCCTGCCCTTTGCAGAGGAACCAAGTTCAGTTTCCAGCACCCACATGATGACTCACAGTTGCCTACAGCTCTGGTCCTAGGGGATCCAATGCCTTCTTCTGACCTCTGTTGGCACTATATGCACAGACAGATGTGCAGGCAAAGCACCCATATTACATAAAGTAAAAAATAAAAAAGAAATACACCACACTTTCTCCAGAGGCTGCTGTACTAAGGCTGGTTGTTGGTGTCAGGAATGTTTGTTGAGTGACTAAATGAATGAACAGGAGCCGAGGGTAGACACCCAGGAAGCTCACTCCTAAGGGTCCCATTCTGGCCTTCTACTCAATGCTCACCCTTTGCCTTCTGTCTCCCCCAGGACCTCCCACTCACGGGCCAAAGCTGAGGCAGCACTCACGGCCGCTCAAAAAGCCCAGGAGGAAGCGCGGATCGCCAGGATCACTGCCAAAGAGTTCTCGCCTTCCTTCCAGCACAGGGAAAACGGTGAGTTCTGCCTGAGCCAGTGACTCCGAGGGGCGGGGCCCTGGCTGAGTGGGAGCTCTGAGGGACAGGGCCTTGGGCAGTGGCTCCTGATGCCACCTGGGGCCGATTGTCACCCAGAGCTAAGGCCTTACCAGTGACATCCCTTGCTGAAGCTGGTTCAGCAAACGTGTGGATGTGCATGGACTTCAGTGTCTGTTTCTAAGCACTCTGTGTGTGTGGACACTGCTGTTCCTTTTATGGGTCCCTGGTGTTATTCTATAGCCATCTGCAGTGGTGGATTTGTGCCCTCTGTAGGTTGGAGGGCTGAATCTAGTCCCATTCAGTAATTTCTGTTGCTTGTTTCTAGTACAAGATCTTATTCTGTAGCCCAGGCTGGCCCATCACAATCCTCATGCCTCAGCCTCTTCCGTACTGAGTTTTGTTTTGTTTTTCAAGACAGGGTTTCTCTGTGTAGTTTTGGTGCCTGTCCTGGATCTCGCTCTGTAGACCAGGCTGGCCTCGAACTCACAGAGATCCTCCTGGCTCTGCCTCCCCAGTGCTGGGATTAAAGGCGTGCGCCACTGCCGCCCGGCCCGTGCTGAGTTTGATTTAATCTTAACGCACACTTGATGAAGTGCAGACAGCCACTTATGGGCAATGGCTGCCAGGCTGGAGAATCTCTGATGAGTATAAGCTTGGACTGTGTCCTTTGGAAGTCACTGTCCTTCCTCTCTGGGGGCTGTGTGAATGATACATGGAGGCACAGGGCCTCTGCTGTGGGGCAGTCAACTGTAGTGGGGGTTGCGCCCTGTGCACCCACCCTCAGAATACCCAGCTCTACCTTGCACCCCTCCAGCTTGGTTGGGAAGCATCCCGGTCCCACAGAGCCTGGAAGCAGGGTTGAGGTCACAGTCCCTCCTGTCTGCTCCCAGCAGCGACGGTATACAAGGGTAAGAACAAAGCCTATAGAACTAGGGTGTGCCGTGCCCAGTCTGTGTTCTCACACAGTGCAAAGGGGCCTCTGGGTCTGGGCTGAGGAGCAAAGCGCACGCAGCTGGCACTGGGCCTAGCTAGATCAGCAGGTCAGATGAGTCTGGCTGTCTGCTCCTTCTGAGGCGCTGCCCAGGACCCACTCTGGGATCCCACTGTGGCCACCAGCACCTTTCAGGTGTTTTTGATGTAGAGGAGGAGGAGGTGGCCATTAACTCTCTGCACAGTCCTCCCACCCAGCTTCTCTAAGCTTAAAGAGAAAGTCAGAAAAAGCCATGGTCCTTAGTGGAGGACCTGACCACCTGAGACTGAGGTGGCTCTTGTCCAAGTCAGTGGGCCACAGGCCATCTGCCCCACATTCAGACTGCTAGACACCTGACTGACCCCACGCCAGGTGAGCCACGTGTAGAATATGTAGATGGACAACATGCTAATAATTCCCATGGGTCCCCAGGCTCCAGCCCTGAATGCTGCTGATTCCTTCCTGGGGTCCTACTATACTGCTCCAAGGAGCTTTGGTTGGAGGGGATGCCATACTGTCTAAGGCACTTGTGTGTGGAATGACGACCAAGGGATTTGTCCATCAGATGCTTTGAGGATCCTGGGCAAAACCCATAGGAGCCAGCCCTAGCCCCAGCTGGACTTTGGACCCCTGACTACCCGACGTCAAGAGACCAGATGTGTTGCTTTATGCCCCGTGTATGTGGGCCTTGGAGCACGCAGCAGGCTGCTCCAGGGTATTGCTTTTGCCAGGGAGGCCTCAGCTGATATCTACTTTCTGTTCAGAGTTGCCTCCTTGAGAAACCTCTAGGAGGGAGGCCTTCACCTCGCAGTACCTCAGCTGCCCCTCACTGGGATGGGACCAGATCACGGGACTGGGCTGATGCAGGACCCCTTCCTGACTGCTGCTCTGTGGTCTCTGGCCACGCCTGCTGCCTGGGAGGCTGTCATGGCCTCACCTCTCCAGCATTGTGTTACTGCCAGGTGCCCTTAAATCCCTCTGGGATTCACTTCCCCACAGCAGGGCATTTCCTAGAATGCATTATCGGCCAGTGGGTCCATGCTGGAAGAGAACTGGGTGCTGTTTCCCCTTTCCTGGTCCTCAAGGCTAGCAGCTACTGTGTTCTCTTACAAGAGAAGACTTCTGCCTGCCCAAGATCTTGTGAAGACTGTGGCAGAACAGACATTTAGATGGGTCCTGGCTCCCAAGCTCTGGCTATCCCTGGTTCTAAAAACATTACCAAAGTGTTTCAGCTAGGGGCAGAAAGCTGCCCTCCTACGGGCTGGCTGCTTGGGGAAGACCCTGGTAGCCAGTCCTTCTGAGACTGCCTGAGGCCATGGGGATGGAAGGAGAGAGTGCAGGATGGGTCAGAGCAGAACCCATGATACTCCAGTTGATACCATCCCTGAAGCCTGCATATCTGTGTACCTAGGACACAGGCTCTGGGATTATGTTGCAACTGCCACAGATTCCTTCCTGGCCTTCATAATGGTCTTCCCGGGACAGTACATGCTTGGCAGCTAATTTTAGCTGAGAATGACCTCCATGGCACTGGCAGCCAGGCACGAGCTTACCCCTAAGGTGCTGGTCTAATGGGCCGGCGGCCTCACCCTTGTGAAGAAAGCCACAGGGCCACCTGCAGGCTCATACCCTGACTTTCCAGGTCCCTGATGTTCAGACAAGGGACTCTGGTGACAAGAAGTGCCCATGCTCTAAGGTCCTGCCAGTTATCCTTGCTGGGTGACCCAATCCACACTGTCACAAGGCCTCTCTGCAATGGGCTCCATGTAACCCCATGTACTTCTGTCTCCCACCCAAGGGCTTGAGTACCAGAGGCCAAAGCACCAGATGTCCTGCGATGACATCGAGGTGCTCTCCACCGGGACACCCCTGCAGCAGGAGAGCCCTGAGCTGTACCGCAAGGGCACCACCCCTTCTGATCTGACCCCCGACGACAGCCCCCTGCAGAGCTTTCCCACCAGCCCCACGGCCACCCCTCCGCCAGCTCCTGCCTCCAGGAACAAAATGGCCCACTTCTCCAGGCAGGTCTCAGTAGATGAGGAGCGAAGCGGGGACATCCAGATGCTCCTTGAGGGCCGCGGAGGGGACTATGCCCGCAACAGCTGGGACGAGGAGAAGGCTGGGGCCTCTAGGGGTGTCCGCAGTGGTGCCCTGCGCAGCGGCCAGCCCACTGAGGATTTCCGCACCCGGGGCTCGGGCCACAAGCAGCCTGGGAACCCCAAGCCCCGGGAGCGGCGGACGGAGTCCCCCACCACTTTCTCATGGACTTCTCACCACCGGGCAGGCAATCCCTGTTCTGGGGGCCCCAAGCTGTCAGAGCCAGATGAGGAGCAGCTGAGTAACTACAAGCTGGAGATGAAGCCCTTGCTAAGGATGGATGCCTGTCCGCAGGACACGTACCCCCAGAGACGGCGTCACAGTCGGGGTGCTGGGGGAGACCGGCGCTCTGAGGACCGGGGCTTTGGGCTGCAGAGACTGAGGTCCAAGTCCCAGAATAAGGAGAACCTCAGGCCAGCCTCCTCTGCAGAGCCCACGGTGCAGAAACTAGAGAGCCTGCGGCTGGGAGACCGGCCCGAGCCCCGTCTGCTGCGTTGGGACTTGACCTTCTCCCCACCCCAGAAGTCCCTGCCTGTTGCACTGGAGTCTGACGAGGAGACTGGGGACGAGCTCAAGTCCAGTACGGTGAGTGCTGCCCACCCCTGCAGGACCGAGGCAGTGGGACCCAGGGCCGTCTCGCTACTCTGTGCATTTCCTCTCGAGGGGCTGAGGGGCAGCTAGTGTGGGTATCTACAGAAGGTGGAGATGCTGTGCCACAGTGATCACACTTGCTTTAGATTGATCCCTGAGAAGGCTCCCCATGGGCTCAACCCTTTAGAAGCAGGGTGGGTGCCCATGAGAGCTCCTGGAGGGGAACCAGTCTGCCTGTGATTGGCATCCTCCCCTGACTTGTGCAGACCCATGGCTGTCAGTGGCTTGTGTTCTGGATCTGGGCTAGAAAAGGGCTGAGGTGCCTATGTCCAGACATCCTTTCTTCCCTGAGTATGTTTCACTCATGCCAGATGCCAGAACTGGTCAGGGTCCAGCTCCCAAGAAGTTGATGCTCCACACATGGGACAAGAGGATGGAACCCTGTAAGGCTGCCTTGCAGCCAGGCTCTAAAGCCTCCCTTTCTGCGGAGCTGTAGTTATCCAAGCAATGGGAAGTTGTTAGGAATCCATAGCATTGAGGTTCCTGGGCCCTGTAACCTTTGGAGGTTTATCATGTCCCATGGGGTGTAGGTCAGACTCCCACACAAGTTCCCTTCACTAGACCCCAAGAGCAACTCTTTGTCTGGCCAGACACCCCCTTGTCTTCCCCTCCCTGCCCCACGATAGGCCTTTTGAAGGAAAACAGCAGCCTCTCCTGGGCCAGAAAGGACGGGACATTTAAGGGGCCTCCTGGGTCCTCTAAGTCCACAGCTGGCTCCATGACAGAAGACATGGGAGGGATGCTGGCTATACAGAGCCTGGTGCCCTGTGTACCAGTGGCCCCAGCAGACAGGACCCCATTCACCTGCTATGGCACAGATGACCACCCTCTGGTGCCTGGGCTTTATGTGACACCTAAGCATCTAGCTGTGTGTAGACGGAGTGCTCTGTGGCATGTGATTTGTATGGGTCACACACCTGTGCCAGGCCCAGGGGGACCCTCTGCAGGGTTCCCGTTACCGCTTCAGCAGGGGTCAGTGTCCATCTTAAGGGGCCTTGGGATGCTCTGGTTTCATTTGACAGCCCCAGCAGTCACTTGCCCTAGGGGAGATGTTTCCTCTGGCCCTCGACTCTCCTTGAAGCCACTGATTAGTCCTTCTCACTGCTAAATTCTAAGATGTCTCCTCCGCTCTGGCTGCTGCTGGGACCACAGCGCTAGCTTGGGCCTCACCCTGCCAGCACACAGCCTGCTGCGCAGTTGTGCGCATGCGGAGTGTGTGGCTATTTCAGGAGCGGCACAGCAGTGGGCAGGGGTGGGAGGCTCAGGAGTAGTTCTATATTTAGCCCACTTCACCGTGTTGGCTTTTTTGGGTGCTTTAAGACGCAGCTTCTGGCTGGGATTGTATCTCAATGGTAGAGTGCACTTGCCCAGTGTACATACGGCCTAGGTTCAGGCCCCAGCACCACTGAAAAGGAAAAGCAAAGTCTGAGCCACACCCATAACCCCAGCACTCCAGAGCTGGCTAGAGGAGCACCGTGAGGTCAGCCCCGCCTGGGCTACATAATAAGGCTGTCTTTTGCGAGAGCACAGTGTGTAAATTGGTTGCTGCATGAACCTGGGGACATAAATTTGATCCCTGGAACCATGTTTTGTTTTGTGTTTTTTAAAAAACATCAGCCACAGTGGCATATGCGTAGAACCCCAGCACTGGGGACATAGAGACAGGCAGATTCTCTGTGGCCAGTCAGGCTAGCCCACTTGGTGAGCTACAGGCCAGTGAGCATCTGTGTCCAAATAAAATGAGGGAGGCCCCTGAAGGAATGTGGGATTGTCCTCTGACTTCCACAGGCATGTGCATACCTGTTCACCCATACATGCACACACATGAACATCCACACAAGGGACATACACATGAATAACTAAAATAAACACCCAAAGACCCCTAGGGTAGATATGCAAAGCATGGGGACTAGCCACAGGCTGGCCTTAAAGTGTAGGATGGGAGAGCCAGAGGCTTACAGTGCAGGGTCGTTGTATCCTAAGGCTTCCAGCTGGGGTGAGTGATCTGGGACACTCTCTCACTGCCCAAGGCTGTCCACACTCCGAGGACAGGAACTGAAGAAAGGAACTCCAGCCCCCCCCCCCCCGCCCCCTCCTCCTCCACCCCCCGTGATCCCAACTACTTGAGAAAGTAGGCAGGGTCTCTGTGGGTACCATGCTGTTCTACGGACCTGAGAAGAGGTCTGGCGAGGCACGAGAGTGAAGCAGATGGAAGGTGAATGCCCCCTGCCTGCTTTCAGTGGTGACCATAAGTCACCTCTGGGAGGTCGGCTGCCAGGCATCTCAAGACTTATGTGTTCCCTTCCAGTGCAGGGCTCTGTACAGTATGGCCTGTCCTGTGTCCTGGGCAGGGAAGGTGGGTCCTGACTGGAAACATTACCACTTCCTCCAAGTTGTCTGGCAGTGGCGGATGGGTAGGAAAGACCCAGGGCTCTGGCTCACAAAGTTCCTAGCCATGGTAAACTCTGTGGTCCTCTCTACACCTTACAAGACTTCTCTGAAGTGATGGGAAGAATGAGTCACCTGATCTAGACTTCCCATACCTAGTAGCAACTGCAGACGGTTCCTGATGGTTAAGTCACTTTGGTGGTGGGTGAACTCTTGATGAGCTAGGGGCCTGGTCCCAAAGCTATCCTGCTCCTCTGTGCTTTGATATACCCATGGGCCTGGGGCTGGACAGCCCAGAAAGGTATAGAGCAGTGGGCTTTTCTCCAGGCCAGGCATTGGGGGACAGGACCCGCCCTGGGCCAACTCTGCTGCTAAGGTCCTTCCCACGTCCTTGAAAGGCTGGCTCAGCCCAGATATCACAGACACTTCAAAGTCCATGCCATAAAAGCACTGGAGTTCAAAGGTGACTCTGCCGTGGTGAAATCAGTGGAGGCAAACCTCCCTGTCCCCTCCTGCCATGCAGAGCCTGGGTCCCCATCCACTCTTCAGCAAGGTGGTAATGGGCTGGGCTGCTCGGGTGCCAGACCCAGGCAGGACTGACTAGGATTTGTCCTTGGCTAGTCCCCAGGGGATTTTTAAAAAGCCCCTACTTTGGCTGTGGAGGTAGCTCAGTAATATAAAGCACTTGTCTAATGTAATCATTAGCATCATAAAATAGAACATATTTAAGAAGCCCTCTACTTAGCCAGGCATGTGGCACACACCTATAACCCCAACATTCAAAAGGCTGAGCCAGGAGAATCGAATCCCTAAAGCCTAATTTCTTGGTCTGTTACAAGCCAATGTCTCTGGCAGACAAGAAGCAGACCCCTTTTGTGTGGAGTCTCGGGTCTGGGATGTGAGCTAGAAGGTGCATGTGTGTGGTCAGCAGGTCGGGTACCTTGTCTACTCCGAGGCTGTAGGGCGGAGCCCGGTGTGCTTGCTCTGCACACACGGGGCCTGGCCAAGATGTCTGCAGTGCTGGTTAACGTGCTCCTCTCTGGACTGCTGGCTGTCAAGGGCAGATGCAAAGCGTCCACGATGATGGGACTATGGAGCTTCCTCCCCCGGCCCTGCCTGCAAAGCCTGCCCCCGGGAGCTGGGAGAAAGCAAGGTGCATGAGCAGGCAGCCGGCCAGGCAGGTGTCTGGGGCCCTTCGGGGCATTGGCTGTGATGAGGCTGACAGCGAGCCATACTGAGAAAGACAGAGCTAAGGGCTTTAGGAAGTGCTAGGAGAAACTAGGTACTGGGGGCACGTTAAGACCTGGATCCAAGAAAGCAGCCAGTGGGCAGCCAGTAAGTCTACAAGCAGGAAGGAGAGGGAGCAGGGGAGATTCCAGGTGAGCCACTCAAGAGTCTCCCACCAGGTTCACGAGAAAGATTAGTGTAGAGAGCCCCCAAGACACCAGCGAGTGCTCTTGCAGCGGGGTGAGCCTCCTCTGCCCTGGGCGTGGCCTGGGTGTGGGCCACTCTCGTCCAGGCACCAGTGTGTAATGAGGCCCTGCAATGGCGTCTCTCACTGTCCTCTCTGTTCCAGGGCTCAGCTCCCATCTTGGTCGTCATGGTGATCCTGCTCAACATTGGAGTCGCCATTTTGTTTATTAACTTTTTCATCTGACGAGATTGTTGTGACCACGGAAGCGGTGATGTACAAAAGGGACGTAAAAAGCAAAACAAAAGGGGGAATCCTGACTCGGACAGCCCCACGACTCCTGTCTTTCCACGGAAGAACAACATGATTGGGTATCACTCACAGTTTGCCTTTTTTTCTGGGTAATGTTTTTTGGATTTTAGCCAAAATTCTTTGCTTGTATAACACGATGCTGTGTGGCATGGCAGGAGGAGGCCGGCATGCCCCCCCTCCAGCTTGGTATGAGAGGGTCCCGGCAAACCAGCGCCCAAAAGATCGGGATCTTCTTCATGTTTCCTGCCGGGTGTGGAAGGTGGCAAGCGAGAGGAGGCACCTTCCCAAGGGTGCCCGTCTAGCCGGGGGGAGGGGGAGGGCAGCTAGGGAGCGCAGCTGAGGAAGGCCAATGGCTCTGCCCTCCTGTCTGGAGTAGCTGCTGGGAGTGTGGCCCAGGCCCAGGGACAGGGACGGGGTGTCCTGGCCTCTGTCTCCATGGAGTCTGTGCTGCGTACCTGTGGAGGGAGAGGGAAGCCCCTGCTCTTCTTCCCAGAACAGACCATGATCCCTCTTCTCGGCACTGCCCCACGGCCCTCCTAAGGAGGCTGCCTCTCCACACTGAGTCTTATGGCGAAGTCTGTTCCCCTGCTGTCCTCTGCTCACTCACTGTTGGCCCTGTCCAGCCACCCTCCCTCCAGACCCAGGGAGGCCATGCTGCAGACGTCCAGGGCTAACCCCGATCTGGCCAGGTACATCTGAGCCCTGATGCCAAGGGGCTATGGCCCACATGCCCCGGACAGCCTGACAGCACGCCTGGGCTGAGCATGTGGCGATTTGCACCTAGTATGCAGGATGTATATTCAGGCTTCCGTGTCCCCTGGCAGTGACGCCCCATGGAGGACGTCACCTCTCACTGACCTCCACGGGGTCTCACATCTTTGCACTGTGCCTGCCTCGACTACCCCTAACAGATATGCATATTCCCTCCAGATGCCTCAGTGCTACTCCAGAGCGAGTCTGGTCCCGGGACAGGAATGTGGTTGAAGCCAGTGGCTTGAATGTCCTGGAGACTGTTGCATACCCAGCACTCCCCGGATGTACAATGTAACTTGTTTCAGTCAAACAACAGGTTCCTCATGTCTCTGCCTTCTCTACCAGGGTTGTTCCCTCATCCAAACAAACGAACAAGGGATGCCAGCTCGACTGGTACCCGTGGCTCCGTCAGTCTTCTTGGGTGCAGCCCGTCTGTCTTATGGACTCTGCCTTGCTTTGCTCGTGTTCAGCTGTTCTCTGCTACCTTTCGAGCAGATTTCTTTACTACAGTGCACTGGATTGCTATATTTTTAACCAGAAATAAACTACAGATTAGAGCATGTTCCAGCGACACTCAGCTTTATTGTTTCCGTTATCCACCCTGTTCCCTGTCCACTGCCTGTCCCTTCTCCCAGGCTGGTGTGGAGCAGGGGTTGAGGTAGGGGAGAGGCTCAGCAGGTACCCTGATGCATTTCTGGTGTTTCCAAAGGGTTCTTCCATCTTTTTGTACAGCTTACTTTTCCATTCACTTTTTTTAAAATCAGGTTGCTGCAGATCTGGCGTGAACCAAATAAAAGATTCCTGCTCTTTGCAGCCATGAGAGCTGTCCATACGGGGCTATGTGAGTTGTAATTCTGTCTGCAGAGATGAGGGGGGCTCAGTGTGCATCCCAGGAGCTGCATGACCCAGAAGGGTGCTGACTCATGGGAGGTGGCACGTTTACTCACGTTACCTTGACATATGCACAAAGCACAGCCCAAAAGGTGCCTGAGGCTCTCACAGGGGACAGCCCTCATCCATTCATTGGCTCTCAGTAATGTCACCATAGAACCAAACCCACAGCCTGGCACTCCACTGGCAGCCTGCAGCACATGCAGCACATGCAGCACAAAAGCTACTTCTCTAGTCCCGGTGGATTCTAGGCAGAGGTGATGGAGACTGAGACGCACACTGGGTCTCAGGGGCTCTAGCAAGCTGCCCTGCAGTGAAGGAGACACCTTGCTGCAGCCTATGGCTACTGTTCTCCCATCTGTGCAGATCCCACTTCCTCCCTGAAGGCAGAGTAGATGCAGCATGTTGAGCAAGAGGAGGATGGTGGCTGGTGGGGACAGAACCGTGTGTCGCTCTGGTTCCCAGGGTACACAGTATGTGGTGAGTTTTAACTAAGATACAGCCCGATCTCAGAAGATCCTTTTGGAGTGAAGAGAAATCCTTTCTGGAGGAGGTGGAAGATACTCAAGGCCCTTACTGCCTGCAGCATGGCTGTCTGGTTGCTGAGCATCGAGTCCTGCACAATGAAGACTCGTGCTGGCACATATGGGGAGCGTGGATGAGTCTCGGCACAACGACAAGTTTGAGGAGTCCCAATGTCTCAGACCAGGCAGCAGCAGAGCCCAGGATAACTGGTTGTGATGATGGTGGTCAGAAATTCCACACAGCTCCCACAATGCCAGGGTCATGTTCAGGATCTCAGGGAGCGCAGAGAGCAGACTACTTTCCATGTAAGTTTCTGCTTTGAGCTAAACTACTGGCCAACACCTGACACCAGGCTCCTCCCATGCACACTAATCCGAGGAACCACAGCCCATGGCTACCTCTGGCCAGGTCAGTACCCAGGGCAAGCAGAAAGCAGCCACACTTCCCAGTTCCAGCTTGTTCCTGCACCCTGGCCAAACAGGTCCAGTTTAGACAGCCCATAGGGCTACCCTCAGGGAGACGAGGCAGTGCTGAGAGCCAGAGTGCTTGGAGGCCCAGCCACGAGATTCAGTGAACATTTAGGGAGACGAGAGGTTCTGGGGTGTCGTCCTTTCTGGTTGGAGTCTTGGTTGCCCTCCACAGACCTCCAAAGCCCTTGAATGGCTGGATAGTTCCACACATTCGCACCTGCCTCGCTCCAGAGGTCTCCTGGCTGCTTGTTTTATCCTCTCTCTAAGCTTCCTCAAGAGGATGTGGGACATTACACTCTCTTCCTCCAGCTTAAGCTCACTTTTACTTCCTGCTCATCTTCCCACGTTTGCAGCCTCTGGTCTCTGTGATCGACTGATGGTCACACAGGCCACTTCTTGACACCACAGAGCTCTGCACCATCACTTCACCATCACAATGGGTTAGCATCCAGACTAAGAAGGGATTGGGACCCTTAGCTCTGCTGGCTCACTGAGGTCCAGCTGCAAGTCAAGCCCCCACCAGGACAATCAAATGTCCCCAAGTGCCAAGAACTATCTGTCCTATGTACCTTGGCCTTTAAAGAAGAAAAAGTATAGCTGTCATTGTTAAACTTACCAAACAAAAATAGCTAAGCTGCATTCCAGTGTGAATTCTGGGAACATGCCCTCAAGACCCAAGCCATCTCTTCCTAAGGAGCTGGACAAGGCCTTCATGGCTGCATGAGAACAAGGGAACAGGTATGTGGCAGGCAGGGAAGCCCTGCACAGGCAGCTGCAGTCCTCGGTGGCCGAGCGCTCTCCAGACTCTAGCAGACACTGCTCCTGGAGTCTGCTTCTCCAGCCCTCTCCCAACGTGGCCAGGCTGAAATGCATACGGGCAGTCTCCTTTGGCTCAAGTTCCTTCCTAAACCTCAGAAATACTGGGACTACATCAAGGTGGGAAGTGGGTACATTCCACAGGAGCTGCGCTGTGGGGACACAGGTCAAAGGGTTTCCAAGGTTGTCCAAACAAGCAAGGCCACATACAACTACCTCACTTCTGGGCTAGCCTGTGCTAGCCACCACAGACTGCAGGTCAGGATGCAAACACCAGGGGGTACAGAGAACACTTCAGACCGACTCACCCTATGTCCTAACCCTCCTAGGTGCAGATGGCTCTCAGCTGGATGCTGGTCCCCTTCCCTGTTGACAATGCCTGCCAGCATGCTGCTTTCTGTCTACCTTGGTGACCTTGACTCCACTCTAGTGAAGGTCAGCCCAATACCAGAGCTGTCTCTCCAAGGGTGATGTCTGAGGCTGTTGAAGATCCTATGTCCTAAGGGCACAGTAGCCTTCAGGTTGCAGCTTCCCCTGACCTGTGCAGAAATAGAAACAAGTGCAGCCCGTGGGGTACACTGTGCAGCCCGTGGTTCAACCTTGCCCACCAAAGAGGTTCTGTTCTCTCCCTCTCGGGCCAACATCCACTTTAAGTGGGGATATTCCACCAATTCACCTCCAGCAAATGGCTCTCACAGACCATTCTGAGTCCACAAGGCAGACACTACTATCCAGGGTGGGTGAGCAGACACGTGGGTACAGGCTGAAGACTCAGGGCACAGGGGGCAGCATCGGGTGGTATACAGCATCACTCCTCCATCATGAGACCCAACACCTGGCAAATGCTGCTTACAAGACCCACCAGCCTGAGCACTGCCCCACTGGGGGCAGCTGTAGCTACAGAAGCCCGGGCAGCTGTGGGTGGCAGGACCTACAGCTGGAGACAGGTCCACAGACAACACCTCACACTCAGTGCTCTCTGGGCTGGCACTCCTGAGCCTGCTGTTGCCCACAGGTCAGCTTCCTTCCCAGCAGGTCAATCCTGAATGCTCTAGCTGGAGCCTGCTGATTGCACCATTGAGCATTCCCCCAAAGAAGAGCCACCCAGATGACCTGAGGACTGTGCTGAGCTTCCCGTGGCCACGACTGGTGTAGATGCCCTTTTGTGACCGAGTCAACAGTCTTCATCTGCTTTACCTTTTCCTGATCTTTCCTCTTGGTGCATGTAAACCACCCACTAATGCGACTGCTTTGCGGATAAGGCGGGGCTGTTAACTGAGTTATCTCACTGGCACAGTGGCTGCTCTCGCCTTGGCCTCTTTAGTTGGAAACAGCTTGGTTAATCAAAAACTGGAAACAAATCCTCTCTAATGAATGTAACTTTAAATCAGATTTCACACCTGAAGCAAGGGACACTCAAGATTCCAAATTCTCTGCTCCTTTACTTAATAAACTCATTTGAAACCACAGGAAGCTTGTCTCCTTTCATTACAAACCACCTTCCCGAAGCCCCGGCTGCCACAGGTGCAGGGTGGGTGGAGCCTCTACCACCCAGTCCCTCCCAGTCTGGAACAGGAGCCCCAGGAGAACACCCTGCCAGAGTGATTGCCTACAGTTAACTCCTTGTTCCAACACCAGATGGGGAGCACAGGATGCTTGACTCTCTCCCGACACACTCCACCTTTGGGCAGGAGGAGGGTATGGGACAGGAATGAGGCCCTCATCATCTGAGCCTCCTCCCCATCTCGCTCACCCTGCCCCTGGGCAGACCATCAAGCCCTGGCACCCCAGACAGGATGCAAGCTCAAAGCAGCTCTAGCTGTCTCTGGCCCTGCACTGTGGCTCCCTGCTGCTGACAGCCGCTGGGTTTCTACTGGACACAACTGTATCAAGAACACTGGGTCTGACCGAGTGACCGAATGCCGAGTGCTCTGGAGACAAGTACAGTCCCTTGGGGAGCACTTTGCTCTACAGTGCTAACCTACCCATGACGGCAGCAGCACTTAGCTCATTTGGCACGTGGATCTGAGAGACGGCATACTGACCTCACACTCCAGGGCTGGAGCCCCACCATTCCTTCATAAAAAGGAACAGCTATCCCTCCCTAGAAACCCGTGTCTCCTTCCTATGGCATACCAGAAGGGTTTCTGCATGCAAGGCTGTCACTATCTGACAGGAAGGCTTCTAGCCTTGACACTTTAGTGTATTTGTTCCATCATTTGGCCACTGGCTTGCTACCTGTAGCAATTCACTCTTAAAAGTCAGAATAAACACCATTATCAAACCATTAAAACAAAATCATACTTAGAATAAATAGTAAGGGTTTCCAGTCTGGTGTAGTGGCCCACACTTCAATCCCAGCACTAGGGAGGCAGAGTCAGGTGGGTCTCTGTGAGTCCAGCCTGGTCTAACTAGTGAGTTCTAGGACAGCCAGAGCTACATAGTGAGAACGTGTGTGGAAAACAAAACAAAATGAATGCTAAGGGTCTCCAGCTCCTTGGTGTTTCCCTTAGTTAGGATTCAACTCTACCAACCCCAAGAGATCCAGGGCCTTCAAGCAACCCCTTGGCCTCAGCTAATGGCATGAATTGGGTGGCTAGCTCAGCACTCCTGGGATACCATACTCAAACCCCACAAAACCCACCTGCAGTCACAGACTGCTGCAGGAGGGAGCAAAAGGCACAGGTGGCATGCACTCCAGCAGCCCGGGGCTGCACATGCACTCCAGCAGCCCAGGCTGCACACACTAACTGTCCTGGTCACAGTAGCCACAGTGACACTGGACATCCCCAACAGATAGTGGCAGTGGCTGTGGAGCCATGGTCATCCTGGGTGTGCCCTCCCCTCCTCACTGCTCCAC